ATACTTAATCTTTATTAAATAATTAAAAATTTTATTTAGTATTATAAATATAATAAGATTAATTATTTTTATTCTATTATAATTAAATAAAAATAAATAAAATATCTTCTTAAGCTTTTATATCTTTTTTTTTATATTTTTTATTTTTTTAAAAACACTGGGCCTATTATTTATAAGATTTATAATATTTATAATAATTTTTTTGATTATCTAAATTATTTAATTAATAGATTAAAAAAAAGTAGATATTCTAAAAAAAAAGAATTCTTAAAAATTTATATAATATATATTAAAAATTTTAAAAATATTATTATTATATTTATTAGATAAAAGATTATATCTATATAATTATAATTATTTTAAATCTAATATTAAAGCTTAAAAAATTTAAGAAAAATATATAGCTAAATAATAATATTAATTAATATTATAAATATTAAATTATTTTTAAAAAAATATTCTTTTTTTATTATAATCAGAATTTAGTAATTAATATATTATTAATAATCTTTAAATTATTATTAGATTTAGATAAGATTTTTATAATATTTTTAAATATTAAAAACTCTTATCCGCAGCCAAGATATATAAAGAACTTAAGATATATTTAAATATTAAAAATATATAGCTTCTTAAAATATCTTTAATTAAATTAATATAATTCTAGATATTATAAAATATATTAATATTCTTACTTACTAGAAGTCCTGCTATAATTAATTTCTTATTTTTTATTAAATAATTAGAGATTTTCTCTCGGTTATAATTAATAAAATTAATATTAAATATTTAAATTTTTTTAATAATTCTTAAAATATTTATTATTATTGCCAGAGCTATTTCTATTTTAATATAATTAAAATAATTATATTTTAAATATATATTAATTATTTTATTATAAATAAGAAATATTAGAATATATTTAATAATCTTAATCTAGATTTAATTATCTTTATATTTAAGAAGTAAGAGAAGAATAAAATAATTATTATTTTTTATATTAATAAGAATAAAAATATAAATAATCTTAAAAATAATTTAAAGAATAAATTATTATTAGAATTAAAAAAACTAGTCTTATCTAAGTCTTTTATTATTATATATATTTAAATAAAAATAAAGATCTAATTTTTATAATTTCTATATTATTATAATTATTATTTTAAATAATATAAAAAATAAATATTTTATATTTTTTTTTATTTCTTTTATACTAGATATTATAAAAGTCTTTTTTAAAATATAATATATTTTTTAAAATAATTAATTAAGCAGATCAAGCAGTAGATTATATTTGAAAAATATTATTATATTTATATAATAATTAAATATATATTATACTTTATATATTATCTTAGCAACAGCAGCTTCTTAAGTATATAATTATTTAAGATTAATCTCTCTTACTACTAAAGCTGATAAATAGTTTTTTTATTAATTAAATTATTTAAGTATATCTAAAAAAAATAATATTATTATATTACTCTATTAATTATAGTATATTTTAAAAAAAAAAAAATTTATTAATTCTTTTTTTTTTTATAATAAAGCTTTTCAGAATAGATATTATACTATGCTTTAATTATATTAATAATATTATTTTATATAAAACTATATATTTTCTTAACTAAAATATTAAGCTTTTTATAAAAAATATCTGCGGGATTTTTAGCTGAGAATTTATTGATAAAATTATTTTTATTTTTAAAAAGCTAAAAATAATTTATATTATTAAAAAGCATAGCTTCAGGGCTCTATTTATTAAAATAAATAATTTTTTTATTATTTTGTTTTATTATTATTTTTAAGAAATCTGATTAATAGTCTACTCTTTAATAACTTAAGATCTAATTTAATAAATAACTTAGCTAAAGATACTATATAATTATTTATATAATAAAAACACAGATAATTTTTTAATATATTAAAGATTTTATTAAAATTATTAATAGTTTTTTAATATTAATACTAAAAAAAATAGTTATAATATATATTCTTCTTTTTTTTTATATAATATAGAGATATAATATACAGAATAAATAAAATTTATTAAATATTTAAGATATATTAGAAATATAGTTAATACCTAAAATAGATAATATATTAATATTATTAATAAGATACTTACTCTTGCTATAAGAGAAATTTCTTTAATATAATAAATTATTTTTATAATTATTCTTTATTATAATACTGAGCTTCTTTTAATTATAAGAATATTAAAAAAAATTAAATTATAATTTACTCTTTATCTTAATTCTTAAAATAATTAATAATATTTATTTATTAATTCTTAGAATTATATTATTAATAATTATATAGGACCGCGGTACAGGCTAGAGATAATAAATAAAAATTAAGATTTAGATTTTAAATATATTATTATTTTATATTCTATAATTTATACTGTCTCTTTTATATTATATTATTAAATATAGAACTAATTTAATATAGAATATTAATAAAATTATTATAACTGATAAATTTTAGAAATAATAAAGAATTCTTTTATTTATTAATATTATAATCTTTTTTAATAGCTCAAAGTAATATATAATTATAAATAATATTATATATATAAAATATAGCTATATAATTTATATAGACTAAAGATAGATTATTATTAGCTATAAGATACTAAAATTATATTTTTATATTTTTAATATAAAAGTAGTTAAAATCTAATAAGATCTAGAATATATTTTTATTTTTTTTAAATATAAAAATACTTAAATCTGGCTCTATATTAATAATATCTTAGTAATATAATATATTAGAAATAATATTATACTCTTTTTATAATAAATTATTTTTAAATATTATAAAACTATTAAATAATATAGAATAGATTTAAAATAATTTTTAGATTATATAAATATTAAAAATAATAAAACAGTAAATACTCTAGCTAATAAAAAAATTAAAAATAATATAATTTTAAATAATCAAGCTTTATTTATTATAAATAGCTTAAAGTTTATTTATTAAATTCTTCAGGCTGAAGTCTAGCTATAATAATAAATAATAAAATAATTATCAAGATTATTATATTAAATTAGAATTAAAATTAAATATATATTATTTATTATTATATTATTAACTTATTTTATATTTTTCTTATAAAGATTTTAACTAATATTACTATAAGTTTAATTATATTAATACTAAATTTATCTATATCTATAATTATATTAAAAGTCTAAAATATCTTATTTTTATTAATATATATAATATATTTTTACTAACTGACTAAGATAATTTTTAGTATTCTTTATTAAATAATAAAAGACTCTAAATTATCTATAGATTTTTAAATTTAAAAAATTCACAGATTTTTTTTAAATTATAGAGTTTTATTTTAAATTCTGCACCTGCTAAGTTTATAATATAATAAATCCTAAATATATTATATTTATTTTTATCTTTTTTTATAATAATATTTATAATCTTTTAATTCTTTATCTATACTATACTCTTATCTGTATTTCTAATATTTTAATAATAGCTAATCTTAGTTCTATTATTTTTTTAAGTCTTATCTTTTCTATTTTTATCTATAATTTACTAATCTGTCTGAATTTTTTATATATATTTTATAAATCAGAGAAATACTATAATCAACTAATAAATTCTATTACTATTAATAGTTAGAAATATCTTTTATAAGTATACTTTATATATATAATCTCTATAGCTTGACATGTTTCTATATCTTATGGGAGGTCTTTGGACCCTAGACATCGCCCAAGATCCCCCGGATGTTAAACAATACAACAACAACAACAATAACAACATTTAATTAAATTAATATAATTCTAGATATTATAAAATATATTAATATTCTTATTTATTAAAAATTCTACTGTAATCAGTTTTCTATTTTTTATTAAATAATTAAAGATTTTCTCTTAATTATAATTAATAATATTAATATTAAATATTTTTTTAATAATTCTTAAAATATCTATTATTATTATTAAAGCTGTTTTTATCTTAATATAATTAAAATAATTATACTTTAAATATATATTAATTATTTTATTATAAATAAAAAATATTAGAATATATTTAATAATATTAATTTAGATTTAATTATTTTTATATTTAAAAAAAAAAATAAGATAATTACTATCTTCTATATTAATAAAAATAAAAATATAAATAATCTTAAAGATAATTTAGAGAATAAATTATTATTAAAATTAAAAAAACTAGTTTTATTTAAGTCTTTAATTATTATATATATTTAGATAGAGATAAAGATTTAATTTTTATAATTTTAATATTATTATAATTATTATTTTAAATAATATAAAAAATAAATATTCTATATTTTTATTTATTTTTTTTATATTAGATTTTATAAAAGTCTTTTCTAAAGTATAATATATCTTTTAAAATAATTAATTAAATAGATTAAATAATAAACTATATTTAAAAAATATTATTATATTTATATTATAATTAAATATATATTATATTTTATATATTATCTATATAAAAAAAATATATATATTATAAATTAATCTATAATTATTAATTTATTTATTATATCTAATTTTTTTAATTAATAGATATAAATAGTTATAATAATAATTATATCTTAATCTAATCTTAATTATATAATTAAAAAATTTTTATATCTTAATCTAACTGTCAGATTATGGCCAGATTAAGGTTAAGATATAACAGTCAGGTTAAGCCACTCTAATTCTTCTTAAAACAGTAATTCTTAATATTTACTAATTACTAACTATTTAGTAATTATTATACTAGATCTAATTCTTTAAATAATAAATACTAGTCTTTATACTTTGTTCATGCATCTTATAAGTAATTAATCACAGAGATTTATCCTGATTAGGCCTTAGCGGGCTACTAAGAAATTGACACTAACCTAATATGTTAATTGTAAATGTAAATGACCGTTGCAGAAGGTCTCTATTACCTACGTACAGTACCTTCCATGCTCAGTCCGTAGATGCCGTTACGTTTCAAATGACATAGATTCCTGAAAAGATCTTTGCAGCAAGGTGACGGCTTCATTTCGCTGTCTATGACGACATAGCTAGCTACCGCTGTGTTTGCATTACTGCAATAGTTTATACTATCGAGCCGATCAACGAGTCAAGATTACATCCCGTCCGTCCCCCTTCAGTCACCTCCGAGTCTTCGTCCAGGACCTCTTCTGTTCCAGGGACTTTGGAAAGACGAAGCCCACCCACCCGAAGATGGGTTCTGAGCTTGGTCCGCAGCACGAAAGACAGTTCCATAAGCACGAGGACCGGGCCGCGGGGTTTGAGCGGCAAAGTACTGGCTGATGAACACCGGGGTGATAAGGTGGTTTCTACCACCACCAAATGTCGGATATATGCGGGTAATAAAATCGTAGGCATGCGCAGCAGCTATACCCGTGCTATCACGCAAGGCTGCAGGCCATCCAGAGGTGACCAGAGTCCAAGTGAGCATAGCCCACGGGAGGAATTCGACAGGTATTTGGACGACAAAGAAGGTCACCTTTCTACCTCTGTTGTCTTGAGAGAATGTGTAAACGCATGCTAGGATCAAGGCTAGGGGCGCGTCAGTGTTGATCGGCATAAGAAATATATTGCCATGAGCTCACCAGACGTGAAGGTTATACAATTCAATAAACATCCTGCTGTGAGCTTCACCTTGTTAGTGTGGGTGATTCAAGCAGGCTACATAATAAAAGGGGGGAAGGCGACAGTCTATATGAACAGACAAAGAAAGTAGATATTAAATATGTAGGGCACCATAACCACCAGAGTGAACTGATTTCATCACACTGGCTATCTCACTGGTCGTCCCACCATGCCTGCAACGCAGCATAGCCCTAAGAATCAGAAGGAGGTACTATGTGGGATGCAAGGGCGATCTTCCTCGTTTCCAGGAACCGCTTCAGCTGAGGTTGCGCTGGGCGGGCAGATATGCGAGGTGACTATGAAACAACAAACAAACATTGGCGCGAAAAATGGAAAGCAGGCAGGTCAGATGACGGGGTTCTCATCCAACGACACTTGAATCAAAATGTTTCAACAACTCACCACGATCACTGAGGCTACGAAAAACAGGTATGTGACAAAGTCACCCGGAGCACTGAGCCGAGACGACCCAGTTTCCAATTGGCTGCCATAGGTATACACTATGGGTGGTTAGTTGATAAGCCTGTTATACCAGGCCGGCGTAATAGCATACTGAAATAAACATCAAAAATCAGAGAAATGCCTGGACCGGTAATCATGAAGGGCGAAAATAGCCTCCATATTTCCGGGAGAAATTTGAAGACAAAGTGACGTTGAAACACCACATAATAGCCATTCAGTAGGCCACCATGGACCAAGACAGACTGTAGAATGGTAAGTAATGTTATAGTTCTATTAGAGGGAAGGCCTGTTAGTAAGAACCGTAAGTGGACTCCGGTGGTATTAGAGCATACCTGGTGACAGGAGGAGCAGCCCAAAACAGGTCCATTGTAGTCCAGGAGCCGCTGTACTGAGGAGTCTCAGGAGAGAGAGGGGAAGGGGGGCTAATCAAGTAAGTTATATCCTATCCAAGACACGACATTCGGTGCCACTCAGTTATAGGAGGATGCTGCAGATGGTCGAGCAGCAACGTGCGAGGAAAGAACAATGGAGCGGAAGATGGGCTTTTATAGGAAATTAGGAATGTGTGTATTAGCTTTAGCTCGGATGCTATTTATCCGTTCCGACAAGCGCAAATCCACAAGTGAGCCTCTCCTGCAAATAATAAAGGACTAGATTAATACCTACTAGTACACCTACCTTACGGAGTAGTACGGAGTGGTACGAATAACTACCACCTGGTAGGTTAGTAATCTACTACCTAGGTTACCTAAAGAGAAATCATAGGCTATTCTCAGGGCTGCAAAAGAAAAAATTATAGCTAATGTTAAGCATTTGGTTAAGACCTTCCAAGACAGCCAGTGGAAGGAATTTAGGAAGGATCATCCGATGCCGTATGGAGCGCCAGTACGGAATACGGAGTATTCTCTGCCAGGTGTGATTTACGCTGTACTGAACGCGACGCCCACTGGTTATTCCTTTTACCAGGTTTACTGGGTTTACCGGATTGTAAATTTACTGCCTCCAAAGAATTATGTCCTCGGAGAAAAGTATATACACGAGACCTTCGAAATAAGACATAGTTGAGATAGCCCACACAAAAATCTCACTGGGAAAAGAACGTAGTCCTTTTTCAAGCCCGAGCGGTCTCGCTACTGGGCATCCGGATAACTCTACCTTCTCGAGACTAACTAGGGAAACAAATGACTGACAAATCCAAGCCGTTTTCTGGGTCCGAATGTCAAATCTGTGACCACACTGCACGAGTACCATCACATCTAACCAGCGTGGGTACGGGCAGTACCTCGCACGGCAAGTCGCCCGTTTGTGCCTTCGATCCAAACATCCCAGGCTGTGTGGTGCTTGCCCATTTTGGGCTTGCCACAGATGGCCAGCTCCTCTTCAACATAGAGGGGAGCAATGTTCTTATAATAAATCTCCGAGATCGCCAGTCCTAGCTTACTTAGTGAGGCCTGCAGTGCCGTGAGAAGCAATGTTAAAGTCAGCGGTCCATGGACGAGGAGGTCACGATAACACTCCACATTTCGCGTGTACGTCTCATCGATGTGTATAGCATGGGCATTAAATGTAAGAGCCGAGAAGCGAAACAGCAGGGCTTTGTTGGGTATTATGCTGTGCCGGAAATATGGATTGGAAGGTGCTGGTAGGGACGGGATGTCAGTATGGAAATTGTGACTGGTGGTAATCAAGTCCTTGCGCACATTTAACAGCCCTACGATCTGTATCAAAGCAAGCCTTGTCGTGGGTGAGCTTTCCAGAGGGGTTATCGCGCATGAACACCAGACTCCTGTCCTCAATAATAGATGATTGACCAGCTTCGTCCGCGTCTTCCTTCCATAGCCGCTCTCTGATACTGCGTTGATCTTCATCCTCTTGGACTGTTCCTATCCGCCTCTCAATTCTGACATTTACCCTTTCATCCCCTGGCTGACCCGTTACCGTCACATCACGAATCGTTTCGAGGCAAACAGCCCGACTACCATCGAGACAAAGCGAATTGTCAGCCAGAAATCGGACCCGGCCCCCGGCCCACAGCCGCCTGTTAAAGGGACTTCCCGGGGTATGTAACGTATCAGTCCCGTCTGGCAGTAGCTGTGACAGTGAGACCTGGGGAGGGAAGTAGACTAAATGGTGACCTGCCGACAAGGGAGGAGGTGTGCGAACAGAAGGGAGATCACCGGGCGCCGAGCTTACCGCTGGGAGGAGATCAAATAATGTTAAGTTCAAGAGATGAGACGGCTGGGGATGCATATAATCAAAAGCTAAGGGTACGTGCCGTGAGGTCAATTCCCGATGGAGATGCTCGGAAAGAGATGAGTATGCTCGTGTGGCTAGGGGAGGGGGGCTTTGTAGCTGCCACCCTACACGCTGTAGGAGACTTCCATGTTGCCGGCCTCTCCGTATAGAATCAAGAGCCACATGGATGCGTAATGGCTGCATCTGGTAAAGAACCTGGCGAACAGGTAGGACTGGGTCTCGAGATTAATAGCCAACCGCGGACGGAGCTTCAGTTTATTTTAAGTTGAACCTAGTTGATCACTTATGTCAGCCGCAATCCCAAGGAAAAACAAGGGACCTCTTGGCAGGAGGTCAGGACAAAGCAACCCAACAGGTAGCGCCATCATGAAGTCTATGAGAATCGCGTTCTTGGGCCCTGCGGCATCATTCTCTCACCAGGTCAGGAAATCACCAGGCCCGCCCACATAACAATAACATCATTAACTCATTGCCTTCCAGGCAGCGGTTGAAAGCTTCGGGTCCTCGGCCGAGCTATTGCCCTGTGTGTCTTTTGCGGATGCTTTCGCTGCAGTGCAAGACGACAAGGTAGATTACGCTATCATTCCCTGCGAAAATTCAACAAACGGCTCTGTTGTACAAACCCTTGATCTATTGGCGGATCCAAAAGGAATCTACAGCGATGTTGAAGTGTGTGGGGAGCATTATTTGACAGTCCATCACTGCCTTCTGACTCGAAAAGGTCTGTCCCCCCCGGGGCGGCCGGGCTACAGCTCAATAACCAAGCTGTATACTCACCCGCAGGCATGGGGTCAATGTGAAGGTTTTCTTGAAGGAGCCTTCAAGGGCGTCGAAAGGCAAGATGTCTCATCGACCTCGAAGGGCGCGGAGATCGTGTCAAGAGAGACAGTTGAGCGAAGTGCCGCGATAGCCAGTCGCTTCGCTGCAGAACACCACGGCTTAGATGTCTCGGAGGAAAACATTGAGGACAAGGCCAACAACACCACGCGCTTTCTGGTATTCAGAAACGTGACGTCGGGCCGTGCAGGTCGACTTTCCTTCGAGGATATCCAAGTCTCGATGGCGCAAGACCCCACTTCAGTCACCCGAACTGCGCAGAAGACATTAATATCCTTCATGATTCGCCAGGACTGTCCAGGAGCATTGGCAGAAGCTCTTCTGATCTTTAAGGATCGCGGTATCAATTTGACCAGTATTAACACCCGACCGAGCCAAATACAAGCGTGGAAATATGTATTCCTAGTCGAGGGCCAGGCTATTCCAACCGGTCAACATAAGGATTCAATATCTCAGATCATGGAGAGGCTAGAAAGAGTTACTGAGAGCTGCAGACACCTGGGATCATGGACCGATCGGTTGGTGCCATTTTAGGACGCAATGACAAATGTTAAACAAATTACTACTTCAACGAGCCAACTATTTGGTGCATCTGCTGCATGTGCCATGGACATACTATAGAATCTTCAAATGAAGTGCAAGTTCTGGGGCATTCGGTTTTCATGCAGGCCTTCTATTTCGTGTGAAACCAGCTCTACAGGCATCTACAGTCCTGCTGAAAGAGGGAAAACAGAGAACAGAGGGGGAAATCTGGTTTCCTTTTTGTTGATATGGCAATGAAGTGCAATGACGAGCAAAACAAAAAGATCAACTCCAGTACTGTGATATACTGGTCTAAACAGTCCAAGCATGCCTGCCCAATGATTATGGAATCGACAACCATCGGTGGAAAGCTGCTTGAGGCTCCGTGCGATAGATTTATCATCTTTTTGAAATATAAATAAAAAACCAAGCGTCAACCTAGATTGTCTAGACAACTTCGGTGAATATGTTACGGAGCTTGGATGGCCCTGCTGAGATACTGTCAGATATGAAAATTGCTCTCATAAGTAGTTTTCACACAACATACCACTAGGCAGCTTCACGGGGGTTTGACCAGGCAAGCTTATGGTGTGGGCCATTGCAGCCATGGGTTTGCCATGAGAGCCGCCGTCACGAGTCGTGGGGCGAGCCGTCAGAAGATCCACCTTTGGAGCTTCTGGGCCTTCATCCTCGCTCTCCGCGAGGTCGCTGAACCGTCAATCTACAGGGGAGGCAAAATTAGCACATGGACTGATACATGATCAACAAGACATACCGTCATAGAACTCGTCCTCGTCTTCAAAGTCAGCAAGTTGTTCGAAATTAACCTTGTACCGAAGGATGGCTCCGATACCACCGAAGCCCTTTACAAACTGGTTTCCCTCACTGGACTTGTCCGAAACAAACTCCAAGGCCGCGCCAAAGTCTTTATAGCTTTCAGCTAGCCACTCAAGGAAAGACATCTGTTCGCTAACTTCCATCTCGGTACCAGTTTCCTTGTCAATGAATAATTCACGGTTGTCCTCTTGAGACTTTGTAGTATGGATAACAACGTCCGAGCCACTGGAGCTCTTCAGGACCCACCGAGTGACGTCCAGATTCTCGTACACAATCAAGGTCTCCGCTGCGCCGAGCTCCAATGCCTTCAGTGTGTCCTCGATGCCGTAGCAAACCTTTCCAGTATCTTGGCTGATTTCTTCGAAGTACTTCCCGATAAGCTTCTTCTCCTGGACGAATTTGACGTTGCTCAGGGTCTCCGAAGCCAGCTCAATGGCCTGGTTAAAGCCGTTTTCTCCGCCATAAGAGACATCAACAACTTTAATGACTTTAGCCTGTAGCCTTTGGTCAAACATATCGGATTGGTTAAGATCATTCTTGAAATCAGCAGAACCGGCCAAGATCAGTCCCGCGACGTTAACCTTATCATTGGTAATATAGTTCTGGACGGCCAACTCGGCAATCTTCCGCACGTAATTATGGCGTTTTTCCTCGCGGAGACGAGCGAAACGCAACGCCGACTGACCACCGCGGCCGTGCTTCTTGGGCAGATCAACGCTCAGCTTCTGGAGAATCTCTCTGGTATTGCCGCTCAGTGTTCCGAACAATGCACCATTTCCATCCATAATGATGAAGCCGAATTTCTGGTCCGATTCAAGAAGCTCGCTGAGAGCCTCGGTATGGAACTTGTTGTCACAGAGATAAAGAGACGTGTTTATGGGTTTGAAGGGCTCGAAGTCAATGTTTATCTTCCGCTCTTTTCCTTCGGAGGTGATGATTTCGCCGCAGTAGACCACTAGACCATTTGGTGGAACCTTGTTGTAAAGCTTGAGGCGCTGTTGGGTGGAAGTAATGGCGGACAGGACAGAGAGACGGTTGACCCGGGATTTGATGTTAGATGCAGTGCCCTGCAGTATGTAATTAGTGGAATTCATGGGCAAGCAGCCCCGTCGGTCCTGCGGTCACGGTGACTCACAAATTCTTCGGCCAACATCTTTGCCGCTCTGGATACCTGATCCTTGGGGGCTGTAGAGCGCTTGGGGTTAGAAATCTTGTGCTGACGGAGTTGGGGGAATGGGGACACGCACGAATGATAAGAGAGATCATGGAGGTTCCATTTCCTCTAGCTAGCTCCAACCGCTTGATAAGTTTCTTCACCTTCCATATCTCAATGTTCTTCTCTGCTTCATTCGCCTGAGCCGCGCTCATGTTGGGCGAGGCGACAATATTATCCGACCAAAAGAAGATGAGGGCGTGGCCTTGCTTTGCTTTGAAACCGTCAGCGGCAGTAGCTTCCCAAGCGGATAATTTGGGGAAGGGGGGGTGGAAGGGGGGGCTACTGTTCTGGAAAAATCGTAGGAAGAAGCGATTAAAGGGGGAGTAAGTGTGAATGATTTGGGATGGGGGGCAGCCAGGTCACATACCTACCTCTCTCGCGGCTGGTCGATATGCCGTCCAAGTCCAGCGGGGTGTTAAGCAATTTTCATCAGGCACCGTGGGGGGCGGATGGGGGGGCGACCGGCGACAAGTCGGTCGGTCGGGTCGCCTGTTAGTTAGTGTAGCGATGACATAAGCGGGTGCTCACACAAGGATGTCGGGTCCACAGTGGTTAGACATGTTGCTGGCTGTCCGTACCATTACTATGTATGTATGACCTGATACTGTTGATTTCACGGTTAGTACCTACTACGTAGTTACGGAGTACCTGACGCTACCTTAGAGCTGAGGGTGCTTACACAGCAAGGTAGTGTTTAGATACCAAGTACCTAGTTCTTAGGTACTTGATGGATATACCTTACTTCTACGGTAGTGCACCGTACAACGGAGTGAGTAAATGCCCTTCTCTCCTTGGGTTCAATCAATCCAAGGTCCATCCATCCCTGTCCCATCTACATATACATATTCTGGATAGGCTGGAAACCCCATCACGCCGCGGGTGCTTTCTCAAATCCCAGTGGGATGACGTCTCCGTTATCGCAAGAGGCTGTGTCTCCCACCCAGCACATGGAGTACATAACATGATATGGTGAACCAACCCCAATTGCTTATCGACCACCGCTACGGAGCATGTACCTAATAGGTATACAGATGATAGTCCATGACTACTCTGTACCAGGGCAAGAACCCCATTTATGTGCAGTAGTAATGATGTAGTTTCAAGCAAACCCCACACCTCTTCCCCCAAAACCCACAGAAGCTCTCCTCTATCTCGCCATGATTTCTCATTGGACTTATCAATAATCATTGTGGAAGCTTCCCGTCCTTTCCTGTTTGGGAGGTAGCTAACCTGTTTATCCATAACCGCTGTCTGCTTATCAGTTTCCTACCAGCTATCGTGTTGTGCGGCCTGGTGACTGCTGCGCCTTTTAGTATCCCTGATAGTGTCTCCCACTGACCTTGCGTTCGCCTGGCTTGTTACCCGTCCCTTTGCCGTGCAAGATCGATTTCTGAATCAATCATCCAAAGCAAGTCCGACATTGGAAACAGCTGTTTTTTGCATACAGGCCCCCCTCTCGCACGTATCCTCGACAGCTGTTACAACTGCCACCCAAAGCAAAGTCCTATTACTATATACACGTCAGTCATAGGGAAAGAACGGGGCAAGAGGATGTCCGGTTTCTCAACGTCTGTTGGTGCAGACGCCGAGGCAGGATCTAGCCATTATGGGCGCATGATACATGGTAGCGGAAGTGCCGATTCGGCTTTCGGATCCGAGGTGTTTCCCAGTGGACTAGCAGCCAGTTACGACAGCTGCCCTAGAGAAGAGCATGATTTCCAGAGGTCAAGGTGATTCCCGCTTCCTTCCCTACTTGCGGCGCTCTATCCCTTAATTGACCTTGTGCGGTACGCAGATCGGGATCCTTTTCTGCTCGTTTTAGGCAGGCAGGCGGTGTCAATAGCATCGACAATTTTGCCCGGTCATGGCAGCGAGCTGCATACTTTCCCGAAGTTCTACCCCGACGATCCTCATTCACGACAGCTGAATCGGATGAAGAATGGGCTGCGGCGGCAAGCAATACTTCACGATCGCGTGATCTCCTCAATCAAGAGACCGGTCTTACAAGACCATTACTGAGCATCGACGGAGAAGCAGACGACAGTACTTTAGCAGGAATTGACGATTCAAGAAAGCGGACTTCGACTGCAGATATACTCGAACCATCGCTTGGAACTTCATATGGCACAATCTCTTCTCGCGTTAGCGAAGCCACGCGAAAGCATGCCGTACAGTTCCACAGAGAGCAACAAACTTACAGCGATGCGCCCGCGGAGCACAATAGGAAGCTTCTACTTGTCAAGCAAGTGCAACACGAGGATGGTACACGGGAGTGCGTTGTCGTCGGTCAATCTACTGTTCCACAGACAATTTTCAATTCCGTCAATGTCTTGATAGGTGTTGGCCTGCTAAGTCTGCCATTAGCTATGAAACAGGCCGGGTGGCTCCTTGGACTGCTATTCCTTCTCTTCGCGGCAGTCACGACATCATATACAGCTAAAATTCTTGCAAAGTGCCTTGACGTTGATAAGAGCCTTGTGACCTATGCTGATCTAGCGTATATCAGCTTTGGCCACCATGCACGCTTGGTGACAAGCCTCCTGTTCTGCTTGGAACTTATTGGGGCCTGTGTTGCCCTTGTTGTACTCTTTGCAGACAGTCTACAGGCCCTCATCCCCGGATTGAGCATTCTGCAGTGGAAAATCATATGTGGGCTTTTGCTCATCCCTCTCAACTTTGTGCCTTTGCGATTCCTGAGTGTGACAAGTATCCTTGGCATACTTTCTTGTACATCTAGTATGTGCTTCTTCCTTCTCCAACTTATATTACCCAAAGCAAGCTAAGCAACAGTTAAAGTCGTTATTATAACATGCATCGATGGGTTCATGAAACCAACCGCCCCAGGTTCACTTATCCAACCCGCGAGAACATATTTATTTCCCGACCATTGGGCCACTATTCCCCTCAGTTTTGGTCTTATTATGTGTGAGTCGATCTTTAGGCACTGGGAATATAAGGCAACTGCTGACTTTTCAAAAGCACCGTGGGGTGGTCATGGTGTGTTTCCTAACATATATCGTGATATGAGACACCCACAGAAGTACGGAAAGAGTCTCTGGGTGACGTATATCTTTACGGTGAGCAAACTCGAAGCGGATGTCAGAGAATAACATGAGAGGGGTTTGTTTCCCTCCAGTTCTAACTAGAATACGTCTGCTAGTACTCCCTAGATTGTGCAATGGCCATAGTGGGTTGGATGATGTTTGGTGACGGAGTTCGGGATGAAGTCACCGCCAACATCTTGCGGACCGATGAATATCCACGAGCATTGTCTATTTGCATGATTATATTTATCGCCATCATTCCAATCACTAAAGTACCGCTAAAGTAAGTTTTATTAATACACCGTGGTCACTTCCGTCTTCCTCGAACATGAAACCTTAATTGACACATACAGCTGCCGGCCGCTTGTGGCCACAGTCGAAGTCCTTTGTGGACTTGGGTCTGGCCCTGAACTTGACACGGATCACTCCAAAAGCATGAAATCGATGCTTCAAAGATTGACAAGAGCCACTATACGCATATTTATTGTGGCAACAATAGTTTTTATGGCAGTCCTTTTCCCCTCCTTTGACAGAATCATGGCATTGATGGGGTCAGCTTTATGTTTCACAATCTGCATCATATTGCCGCTTGCATTTCACCTGAAAATATTCGGCGATCAGATCAGTGGAGAGGAACGGCTGCTCGACTGGTTTCTTCTAATATTATCATCAGTATTAGCACTGGTTGGGACTGCGTGGTCATTCCTACCACAAGAGACCATTTCTGCAATGTGATAACTCGGATAAAGGGGCCCTTCCCATCCCATATGCGATCGTGTCACTTGACCACGATTGCAAAATTGTTCCTCGTCTTGCCGGGATTCATTGCATCTTTCTTGAATACCTTAGGCTTATAGTCACCATTGTGATCCCAGAGTTGGAATATCAGCTTGGAAGTTTGCTTGCTCTTGGACAAGACAAAGCCCATGCTGAACATTATATCTTCCAATCTGCCTGCCGTGAGGTAGCGCGAATTGGTGACGCAGGCAACCGGCAAGACCAGGAACAAACTGGGGATGATGGCAATGGAGGATCCGGGGGGAGATGAGTTCGTCAGGAAAGATACACAGCGTTTCAACATCTCACCTCGGCCGGCGGCATCCGCAACATAGTTAAGGACCAAGGAGAGGCTGATCACATGAAACTTATCGTCTTCGCTTTTCGGAAGTGGTCTTTCCATGAAGTCCTGCCTCAGGATCCCCGGTTCTTGGGAGTTCAGATCAATTCTAGTGACATCAAGATATCTGTTCATAGAACAAGCGTTTTTGGTACTCAGAGCTCCAATCTCCAGCACTCGTAACTTGTACGGCGTGGTTTCCAGCGGTCGTAATCGTGAAGCTACCCAATCGACTAGGGCCTTGCTGGAGTCCCCTCCGCGGTCTAATGATTGGCCAAGTTTGCTCGCGAGCTGATAACTCTCCAAGCCCCCATTCTCCCGGATTTGCGCATCAATCTCGCTGGCTAGGATCTCATCGCCAGCCTGCAACGCCTGTGCCCGCGCTTTGAGGAGGCGATGATGGGACCGGATAAGATTCCGAGTAGCTTTGGACGATAAAGCTGCGTGATTTGCCCGGGCTGTGGGAGGCCGAGTGCGAGATAGAGGAATGGGCCTTTTGCGCCGTGTAGTAGATGAAACCATATTCTGTAAAAGAATCCCTAAAAAGAGAACGGGAGATTCCGGTATTCCTTGCCTTGAGGTGTCTTCGAGTGCCGTAGCGGTTTATCTGTCTGTGGGTGCTGAATGGCAAGTAGGTACGAAGTACTCCGTAGCAGTGGCAATAATGATGGCCGATTACAAGCGCGCCGTACCTACAGTACGCTAATGCAAACCCAATTAGTGACTTCAGTTATTTTGTGACTCCGGGTAATGCTGGTACTGTACCGTATCACGTGTACTCGGCTTAAGGTGGAAGGGCTGAACTAGCCTGTTCGAGTGGCGGGCGCCAAGAGATCCAAACCTTCCGACAATGAGGGCTGGTCAGGTGACCCACACAGCAAGCCGTAGGTTTTTCATTAAGCGAATGTCTTCCAAATAGTTCGACACTCGACACCGCGACAATCACCACGACAGCGCCGGACGACAGCCATGGCCCCTAAGTCGGAAAACAAGCAAGGTAGGTAGACACTGTGCGATATGATCGTCCCCTCCAAATTGCAAAGTTTCTATCTTCCGGACTGCGGTTTTGTGAGCGCCCAATTGTGGTATCTGCAAGACGCGACACTTGATTGTGGTCCTGTCAGCACGAGCAACAGCACATCTCGATTAAGCAAGACAAGTTTTGTTTCTGCCATGACTGTGATGATCGCTCAAGAGACGGAACTTCGGCCAGCTCTTGGATTAACGGTCACGCTAACGTGTTGAAATTTATAGGCAAGACTAAGCCCAGCGACAGGGCTGGTGCTGCTGCCAAGGCAGTCTTGAAGGGTGCAGGTGTACGTTCTCATCTCATTATCACCAAAAATGTGGTTTGTGGGTTACTGAAGTTGTTTGATTATCCAGGCGCATAAGGCTCGCAAGGTCCGCACTTCGACGACCTTCCACCGCCCCAAGACCCTCCAGCTCTCCCGGTCGCCCAAGTACCCTCGCAAGTCGATTCCCCATGGGCCTCGTCTCGACTCCCACAAGGTCATTCTGTACCCTCTGAACACGGAGAGCGCCATGAAGAAGATCGAGGAGAACAACACCCTGGTCTTCATCGTTGACGTTAAGGCGAACAAGCGCCAGATCAAGCTCGCTCTCAAGAAGCTGTACGACGTTGATACTGTCAAGGTCAACACTCTTGTTAGGTATGGGGATCCTACTGGGCGTGAAAATAACGGATCATTTGCGGGACTTAAGTTGTCTAACCTCTTTCTAGACCCGATGGCTTGAAGAAGGCCTTTGCCCGCCTAACTCCCGATGTCGATGCTCTGGACATTGCCGCTACCAAGCTTGCTATCGTCTAGATAAACTTTTTTCTGGGTCTGGGTGAACATTTCTATTTTGCGCGGTGGTCCATGAATACCGGTCATACAATAAACTGCCAGTGCTTCAACGAAGACTGAATGATCTTTCCAAAAAAAAGAAAAAGGAATTACTCGAATGGATGATTGTTATCACGAACAAGACTTGTTCTAGGCTTCGTAGTTGTCGACCTTAGTCTCCGGACTCTATACTCTTGATCCTAGAACTGGCATTGAGCTCCGTGGTTGAGCCGCTTGGAGCAGGTCCTATTGTCGAAATCAGGCATCTGTATTTAATTTCAATGGTTTCTCGGGCGCTTTTAAACAGTGATACGTGCCTACAGATAGTAGTGACTAGACCATATATTTTCTATCCATACTAGTAGTACATGAGGGAATCTGCATGTTTGACAACGGTAGATTGATCCACATGGGTGAGCTAATAGATATGACCATGCCCATTATGAAAATCACAGGCAAAAATACAGGCCATCTTCAGTGACCCCGTGGGTGAGAAAAACAACCTATTGTCCACCACGTAGGGTTTCAAGGTGTTTCAGGACTGCAAAGTTGGTATCCATCCACCGTTCCACGCAATTTTGTGCACAAGTATCCTCTGCCTGGTCAAGACGGCCTGATGAGATGCTTCCGGTGATGCACTTCTTCCAGCAAATATCGGAAAGATGGTGGACGGCTGATAACGGCTATTAGCAGTTGATCACGCCAAAGCTTTCAAAGACGGGGATGCTGATTTGAAAAGACGCAGTGATATGTCTACTGACTTACTCTGCTGGATTGTACTCTTCTGTGCCTCGCTCGTAAGAATCTGGGTCAACTCCTTCTTGTCGGCTTCACTGAGCTTTGAAACATCGAGCTGCTGGTCCATTTTGATGCCGGAACTAGGTTGGGGCGCCAGGAAAACAATGGGATCAGAAAAGGGGGAAAGGGGGAGGGTTATAGCTTGGGGAGAACACCGCGTGGGTATGTTTGATGCAGTTCTCAAAAAGACGTATATATTTTCCTTTCGATGATGTTCAATTGAGTTGGGCGACTCTCCCCGAAAGAATTAAAGGCGGTGTGCTGTGGCAGAAGAAGCAACCACCGCTACGCCGCGTATTTCTTGAAGCATCCATCTCGGCGGAGCCTCGGCGCATTCAGGTGCAATATCTTCGGCACCCACTCATCATCCTGTCAATCGTTACAGCCCAAAAATGCCCCCGGTCCGGACCTCCCGCAATCGCAAGCCTCCTCCGGCAGGCTTTGATGACATAGAGGATACATTACTGGAGTTCAGCAATAAAATGAAAGATGCCGAGAACGCATCGCATGATGGCAAGAAGAAGCATGAGATGCTATGGCCAATTTTTCAGATAAGCCATCAGCGTAAGCATTCTTGACCGGCATTGCTTTTCCAGCATTTTCAATCCTTCCTGTTAGCGATTCCATAAGGCTAATGCTATGCATAGGCTCTAGATACGTATATGACTTATACTACGAAAAGGAAGCTATATCAAGACAGCTTTACGAGTGGCTTCTCAAGAATAACTATGCGGATGCAAACCTGATTGCTAAATGGAAAAAGCAGGGATATGAAACGGTTTGTTCCTCTTATCGTTTGCCCTTTCTGTTATTCCTCCTCCTCTCCCCCTCCAACGCCTCTGGCAAGACCAACCCACCAGAGTCTGTCGATTCAGGCCAGTAAATAAGGTTACTGATTCGTTCCTCCGTGTATGCAGCTGTGTTGCCTCCGTTGCATACAGACGAAGGAAACAAATTTCAACGCAACCTGCATTTGTCGGGTCCCAAAAGCGCAGCTTAAGGAGGATCAGATGATCCAATGTGTCAGTTGTGGATGTCGAGGCTGTGCCAGCAGCGACTAGACCGGTCGTGGAAACGACGAATATTCAACGTCGTTAGCGAATCAATTTCTTTTTTGTGGAAACAGGAGAAACCCTGTGGCAGGTTCCCCTCTATTTATCTATGGCGTTGGGGTCAGGAACTGCGAACTACTCGAATATCTTTTCTATTTGCTAATCTTGCTCTCACCCCCACCCCCTCTCTCCCATGCTCTTTAGCGGACACATCCATGATTGTTAATCTAGGCACCAGTCCGTGATCTATTGGGCCATGCTCACAATAAAGAGCAACTATACTCACGAAAATGTATATTGTTGAGTACGTATCTAAGATTTGAGAATCGTGTGCAGGTGTTTCATTGGCTTCCCAACATCTCAAGAACATAACGAGAACTGTGCCACCCCACAGTAAACAGGCTAACCGATAGATCCAAGCATTATGAAGAAAACGTGTTAAACAACTTGGAAACAGCCATCAAAACAAACTAAATCAAAAGTGCATGCAGAAACCCAGGTTCGTTCAAACATACCATGCTCATGTACATCTTACCAAATGTCGTCATAAATGTCGTTAAAAAAAGACAAGCTCATCCCAAGCCCAATAAATGTTAGATCCGACTGCCCCTTGAATCAACCCATAACTCCAAGAATCCCAACGGCTAGAAGGCGAAGCAGTACGAAAACAAAATAAGAGACCTTTCCTAAAAAAAAAAACAGCCCTGGCGTCCCAGCTCGCATGAACTTGTTGAAAGCTGTACGCAACACAAAGCAGATATATCCTTCCTTAAGCACTTGCTGAGAAATATTGAGTAATATGTTGTTAGACTCGGGTATCGGTTCTCCTCGTCATCACACCTGTTGGTGAAACTATGACCCTAAGCATCAGAACAGTGAGGTATTACTTCGAGTATTGCACTGAGGTCGTGGCAGGTATGGTTTAGACCTCGACTGTCCTTCCTTGTTTGAACCACCGATCTTCTGAAACCCTTGCAGGAGATCCACGCCATCTACTTCGGCGGGACTTTCATCGAAAAGGTGAAAAGAAAAGAAATCGTCATGAGCAGTATCAATGAAACGCCCCGGTTCGGACCGTTTAGATGGCGATTCGGGGAAAAGTAGCCCCTTCGCTTTTGCTGTTGATGGTAACGATTGTATACTCATCCTGCCGTTGGCATTGATGGCCGTGATGTCAGCCAGTATGTTACCATTTGATCCCGTGGCATCTGTTCGAACGCGTTTGACTGAACGCTTCTCTGGCGAACCATAAGCCGACGTCGAGATATCTTCCGTGACAGGGTCCGCAAAGACATCAAAACTTGAGTGAAGATTATCAGTTGGCGTGAATGTCTCGTCCTGGATATTAAAGGCTGGGCTCCACGGAAGATCTTCGTCGGCGAGACCCAGATGTTTTATTGGAGAGTTGACCATTTGCTGGATCTTCTTGCGGTGGTTTCGGAGATTTGTGTTCGGTGATACTGAAGGTGGCGGTTTGACAGGCTTCTTGAATTTTATGACGGGAGTAATGGGAGGCGGTAGCATGCTGACATATTCACCACGAATCGGAGACGAGCCTACTAGCAACCCTGACTCCTTCAAGATGCCACATTGGCTTGGGCTAATGTCATGTGAAGAACTTCGAATGCGAGCAATCTCCTCTTCCGCTCGACCCCGTTTGATGCGAGGTGGGTCAATATCGAGGTCCGAGGTCAAGATATGACCAGCCTTATTTGGCCGCATTGCAGAAGATTCCAACGAGGAAAAATAGCCACTATCATTCATTGCAGTAGATTTTCGTTTATTATCAATGGGAATGATACTGGAAGTGACGGTCTGAGACGGAGTTGGGGGAGTTCCCTGCCGGATATAACGGGGTGGTACGACAGGAGGTGACGATTGTATAGGTTGGAGGGGGGATGAACGAGCAGGAGCTTGAGACACGTGAAGGTTGGAATTATCGTCATTCACGTCTTCCTGGAGAGCAGGATCAGAAGCAGGAAGGGTGGCATCAGAGGATAAATCCACCGGCTTTGCGTGATTTACTGCCGATGGGTATGTGGACGGCGGTATTGTCCAGGTTGCAGAATTTGAAGGCCGCGAATGCACATTGTCCTTAGGAGCCGCTGGGAGAGGAAGACTGGACATGGTTGCGCGGCGCTGAAGCTTGTCTTTGAGAAACTGTACTTCCATACCAGGTTCAATAACCCAGTAGTTCCCTTTCCCTGGATCATCCTTCGGCCTTTCTTGCTTGATGAATGCCTTGTTTAAACTGAGGTTGTGTCGAATGCTGTTCTGCCAACCAGGATCACTGTTTTTGTAATACGAAAATGTGTCGGAGATCCATTTATAGATTTGTGCTAGAGTCAACCGTCTGTTGGACGCACGGAGTATAGACATTCCGATAAGAGTCGCGTAGCTGTAGGGGGGCTTTGTGCCATCATCATCTATAGTGGGCATTTCATGAGGTTCCGGCAAACATATTTTACTGGAACCTTCACGCTTCTGCTTCTTGGTTGATCCTTCTTTCAGTGGCGCCGCATCCATAAGCATCCTTTTCAGAGGAGCGTTAGATACCAACGAAGGTTCGGGGAAGTCGGCAAAATTATTGCCAGGAGGCTCATCTAGAGGTTGAGCTTCCTTCGGCGACTGTTTCCCGGAGCTCACTGTCGAGAAGGTCGTGAATAAAGCGGATTGAGGCATTGAGGACGAAACCGGAGTGTTATGATGATACGTAGTGAAGGCCGACCTCTTGGACGGAGAATCTGTTGTAAACGCCGGGGGGGGCGGAGCCGTTATGGGCACAAATCCTAGTTTCTCACGTCCAGAAAATGAACTGCCCGAGCCACGAAACGGCTTTTTGGGAGAAGGCTTATGTGGCCTGGAGGATGTCGGATTGAGGACACAGTCCTGCTCGGACGATGCATTTTCTGTGGCCTGCAGAGGTAAAGGCGAAGGTTCTAGGCGAGGGCGTGATTTAGAAATAGCTTTGTATGACGAGAGTCCTGAGGTTGACTGCGCGGTTGGCGCAGGACGTGTAGGACTCATACTGCCGCGAGCTAGACCTCGTCGCACTAACTCAGTATCACGGAACTTTTGACGCGTGGCAGATTTGGAGACACGAAGTGCTTCGCGGAGAGATGAAGGCTTAAGCACCTTAGGCTCCAATAGGGCACCAAAAACGGGGCAGTTGGCTTCAGGAACACACCGTACTAAGACGAATGCAGTCCTCGGGCAGTAGTGTAATACAAAAGCACAATGCGACAGTATTTGAGGATCAAGCCACCAAGCGCTCAGAGGCGCGAACGAGGCAGCGATCCGAATTAGAATATGGCAGAACGAAAGGGCCCCAGGACAACGGCTATATCAAACGACGCGGAGATAGAATCGGTCGACTAAGTCAAAATGCAGTCAGGTTTCGTGGAATGAAGCTGCTCGCTCTCTTGCCGTCTTTGCGCTCCTGAGAAGGAGTTGGATGATGGCAGCGCGCAAAATGATCTTGAAAAGACGAGAGATCCGGCTACCTAGATCAAGTGGGTTATCAGTGAAAAGAGCCCTGGGAGATAGATGGGCGGGAACGCGGCTCGACTCTAAAATCAAATCCCTTTGCCCGGTCCCTTCAAGCAGGGTGGGGGGGAGATATGCGCAAGATATTGTGTGGATAATGCTTAGTTGACTGAGGAATGAAAGGAAGAGGACGGTGCTGCACCTGTTGATTTCCCACGCGCCTCGTCTGATGTGTATGGTATGGTTACGGCGCGTCCGCGTCACGCGTCGAGCCGTCCTCGGGACGAGCCCAATGAAGGTATCCAGTATTGTCACACTACCTACCCAGGTACAGGTGTACCTATAGTAGGTAGTACTCAGGTACCTACTAGGCACCGAGTGTCAGGAATACATTTCTCCTGATATATTGAGCAGTAGAAAGATCCGGGAAAATTAAGAATTGCTTACTATCTCCCTTACCCAGGTACCGTGTACAGTATCTGTAATTAACCAGTTACCTAAGGTAGTCCTCCGTAGCTGAGGTAGGTAAGACGTAAGTACCGACCTAGCTACCTACCTAGGTAAGGTGAGGTGGTACAACACTAGTCTACCTCAGGGGCTACTCGAGATATTATTACTTCCCTACTTACTCCGTACTATGTACCTTATGCGGAGTACTAGGTATGCTTTACATTGAATGTACCAAAACAAAGTATGGTGGTAGTACGGAATAGTACGACTAGAACTCCGTATCTCGGAGGTATGCAGGCCTTGACACCGCCTTGCTCATCCCGCCCAATGAACGGGCGGTCTATGCAGATCCAGGGGACCCACGGTCAATTGATGAAAAAGCCTTCCGGCCCAGCGACTATAGTACTACTATCTACTCATAGTGCTATTATTTAGTACTCCTCACTCCCTACGGAGTAGTGACCTGTCATTTAAACACCACCACCACCTATCATCGGCCCATGATCCAGATACCTATATTCACCTTGTACCAGAAATACATATGGGGCTTCAGTACTCCGTACAGCACCAGCGACTCAATCAAGTCACCAATTCCTACTACAAGTACGCACTTTAAGTGTGTGGGCGCCTCGCGACAATGGGGATTGAAAGAAGGAGATTGGGTTAAGCCAGGGGCCCTTGCAATAATCCAGCTAGGCTAAGGCAGAAGACAGTATGGAGTAGTGTGTCCAGCTGGTCCTTATAATTTACCTAGGCAGTGCGCAGTGCTGCTTGGTTGATCCCCCTGGCGGGTTAGGCCGGGCACAGTTCAATGTTATAACGTGTAGTACGGATAGACCTAATTTAAATATATATATTTGTGTGTGTAAGATTATTATCCTTTATAATCTATATTAAGATTTTAGAAGATAGATTAATATTTTAGCGATCAGGATAAGTATTACCTAAGTAATCTTCCTATATATAACGGTCTCGCCCTACCTACTACTACTATTACTAGCCAAGGCGAACCCTCCTTTATTGGTTTTTGTTATTCATGGAGCAACGCCTACGCAAAGAAGATTTGGATGGCCGGTTTTCCTAGTGCAGACTTTGTTGGAGCTGTATTTCGAGGCAACGATCTATCAAATATCTTATTATGTCTAGGGATCAAGGGGGGAGGGGTGGAAGGGGTAGATAGAGGATAGAGGAGAGAAGGGGGCAGGGGGGTGCTAATCCTCCGTAGAAAAGGTTTACCTCAGAAAAACTCTACATTGGATTATAAATGCAGTATGGCGATGTCAACTAGGTACCTAAGCCGAGAACAAGATATATCTAATGTTATCAAGCAGAGTATAAATGGGAGATGGGAGGAACCTAAGAAACAACATTTGTTTCTATTCAGCCAGTAGGGGGCATTTGCGATCTTGTTTTAATAATCTTCTAGGGTTAATAGTAATCGTTTGGGATGAAGAGATATGGACGAATAGCCCACCAGGCAATAGTATCAAATATATACAGGTTCTGGATTTTCTGTAACTAACTGTAGATTATGATATTATCTATGGGCAATGACATGTTTTGGATCATATACTCTATCTTTTGATCATCAGGGTGTACTCTGTAAGTATATCTTAGATGTTAAGTCCGTTTTTCTAATAAGTGTAATGGAATATCATATAACATGACAACTTAACATTTAGGCCGGTAGAATAATATTACTCAAGTCTCAGCAGAAGGGGTACATATCATAAGTATTAGATTACTAACTAATAATATCCATGATAATTACCTTCTCTCGAACCTCTACAATACCTATCTTTAAAGGTCACTGTAGTCTATAAGTACCTAGTACTATAATATAGCAATTTAGAATACGTGTTATTTCTATGCTACTCCTCCTCTCTTATTCTATCATGAGGTCCTGCACGCCTATTTAAACAGCAGTCTGAACACTCAAACATAGATAAACTGACTTTTAAGTAGCTTTGCCGAGTCTAGTATATAATTAATTTGGTTCAGAAATCTGTGACCTCGAACTGCAACTTCCCAGATCAGGGTCAGTGAATGTTTTTTAAGTACATGGAGATGGCGAGAGAAAAGGGCCAAAAAGGGCAAGAAAGATCGAAAATACAAAGGGAAGAGATATGAAAAAAAACAAAGCGGAAGAAATTAATCTATTTAACAAGAATCAAAGGTCCGTGGTGCATTTTAACTCCAATATATGAACCAGAAGCGAGGCTGGAGGGAACACTACTAGTGCCCAGAAAAGCCAACTGCATCTGAAGGCACCTGCAACCCAAACGAGTATAAACCAACCATACAATGATTTGCATTCAATGTCCCTTGTTAACTTCAAGACATTTTCTTTTCAAGGGAAATCATGGCGTCAGAGATGTTGCCATGAAAACTCTTGAAGATACTGTGGGAGGTGGGCGATATGCAACGAAAAAGGCACCATTAGTCTAAGAATGTAAACATGCTGGTGTGGATTATATTCAAAGCCCGGTCAGCGTCTCTCTCTTCAATAACGCAGGAAATATTAATTTCGCTTGCACCTGTAAGACAAAGTAAGATAAGCCTCTGACGATCAATAAAAATGAGCAGGTCGAACTTACCTTGAGAGATCATCTCGATGTTAACGTTGTTTTCACCAAGTGTCGAGAACATCCGGCCAGCGACACCAATCATGTTTTTCATTTGCTTCCCAACAAGACTAAGAATTGCCATCTCCGGGATGATGTCAACCGTGCCATATTTTTGCAAGTCTCGTAAAGCGCCTTTGAGATCCTCATCTATGATTTGGTATTCATCTCTTCCAACACCATTAAGAAGGGGCATTTCCGAATGAAGGGCCATGGATACATGAACCTCACTTGTGGATATTAGATCGATTGAAAGTCTCCACCGGTCAAGGACAGAAAATATTCCAGCGAAGAACCCGTGCGAAAGCGAGCGCTTGTTCGAGTGTACATTGATCACCAATATCTTGTGCTTGATTGTAACAGCCGTTGGGCGTTTCGGACGCTGTACAAGACTTGGACTCCGGGTACGAAATAGTCTCGGATCGTGGCCGGGGGTGGTCTTGTCCAATTCAAAGGTAGAATCAGGGAAAATCACTGTACCATCCCCTCTTGGATTCATAACGTTTTTTATGCGTATTGGGATCTTTGCGCGGATGACTTGCTCCATAGTAAAAGGATGAATCACCTCCGAGCCGTAGAATGTCAACTCAGCTGCCTCAGCTGGAGTTATTGCAGGAAGAAGGCGCGCGGTGGGAACTTTTCGAGGATCTGCGGTGAATATCCCATCGACTTCTTTCCAAACCTGTAGTTCCCTGGCATTTATTCCCACGGCAACCAGAGCGGCGCAAAGATCAGTATAACCACGTCCGATCTGATCAAGAAGACCTCCGGGGACAGTTCCAAAAAACCCAGTCACAACTGGGACTTTATTTTCACAGGCCCTAATCTTTCTGCCAAGGGCAGCCGCAAGATTGTTGTAGAATGCCTGGTCGAGACCCTGATTCGAGATGGGAAAATCAATGATCTCAGCTAAATCCACATACTGCGAATCCACACCACGGTCTTGAAGGAAAGCCGCCATAAGTCGACAGCTCAGCTTTTCCCCCGTACTGATCACTTTATCCACACACCGTGCACTGATTTCTCCCAGTGTCTGTGCAGCTTCCAGGACTTTTAGAACCTTGTCGCATTCGCTATTTATATCTGAAATCAGTCGGGACTTGAGAACGTTAGATCGGATTTGGTCGTCGACAACTTGTATATGCTCCAGCCGGACTGCCTCTACGAGGGAGGCATACTGTTGCGATAGAGCGTCTTCAGCGTCCCGCGCCGCTCGCAGTAAACTACCGCATGATATAGAGTCAATTTTAAATCCATGGTATGCCAGACGAGACAAAAAAAAAGCAGAAAGGAGATATGTAACTGGAAGGGTTTAAGGGAAGATGGCAGTGGTAAGGTTAGAGAAATGACTCACCGATTCGTGGTACCTGCAGCTTTCGTCGAACTGCTCCGCGCTGAACACACTATAGCCACACGATGTTCTAAAAGGCTCGGTCTGGTTAGAAAATGCTGTTAGTAGACAACTTTATCACTTGATCGAGATTCGCAGAAGATACTTACAATATCACCTGATCGATGATATTCAGAGCAAACTTTCCAACGCTTGTACCCCCGAACTTCTGTACAACCCAATTGCTACCCAGTGAGACTTTTTGGTCACTATCGACCAACGGCAAAGAGTCTGCCTTGTACTGCTGGTGGTCATCCATGTCGGTTTTTAGTAGCAAGTCAAAGCCTTACAGTCCAGAGATGGATGACACACCGGTCGGTGCTTGCACTTGGCTCCGGTAGCGGGACGCCTTTTTTATGTGCACTGGCGGGGTTGCGAAAGCGGAGTACCGGGCGATAGCATCGAGGGATGAATGGTTTTTCTCCGGGCTACCCCTTCCGCCTTCCCTAATGAATCAACCAATTAGTTATCAAGGGCGGTAAATCTTACCTAGGCAATTGTCTTACTCGTGCCACCGCAGGCAGGAATATTGAACCATTACATTATACCGTATGAGGTACTGGGGACACGCCTGCTTCTTCTATGTCTTGATTAGTCCATAATTATTTTTATACTTACATGCCAGAGTATGTAAAGGTCTTATCGCCCCCCACCCACTTATTTATAGAGTATAAGAGCTCTAACTGTGTAGTAGTATGAAGATTTATCAGATACGGCTTAGCAGTAGTTATAGGTAGATAATCATAGTAAATTATTCTTCGCCCGTGGCCAGCTAGTAATTAAAGCGCTGGCATGTAAAATCACTAGGGCTCTAACCAATCAGTATGGATGTTTAATACCCGCTGTTCCCTATTTCTTTACTACAGTAGTTGATAGTTCTTCGCTCTGCAATAAAATAAAACGTGGAGTTGAGTTAATTATACTTAACTCCCAGTCATGCCTGCAGGTCAATCAATACCTTAGGAGATACTACAGTAGGCATACAATCCTCCGAAGCCGGGGGGTGTGTTAGGGGAATGATTGAATTAAGCTAATCCAATGATTGACTGTTAATACAGAAGAAATTAATAAAAAAAATAAAAAAATAAAAGTATTCTGTATTCATGTTATATTTTTTTATTTTTTTATATAGTGCTATTTCTTGCTTTATTTAATTATTTATTTAATTATAATATACTAAACAAAATATTCACGCAGATATTATTAAATTTTTAAAATTTAAAGAATTTATATAAAAACTTTATAATAATATTTTTTATTTTATATATATCTATCTTATCTATAAATAGTTTTAAGATTTCTAATTTATATATTATTTTTATTATATAAAAATTTACTCTCTATATAAATAATAATTCTTTAATTTTTTTATTATTTTTAAATATAATTCTATAAATAATCTGATATTTTTATATTATTTTTTTATTTAATTTTTTTATATTTTTATTTATATATTAATATAATTTTTTTCTAATTCTGTAATTATAGCTGAAGAAGCTAAGTTTAAAAATATTTTTTTTATAATATTTATTTATTTTTTATATAATCTTACTAAATCTACTTAGACTAATTTATATATTAATAAATTTATTATACTTATTTATAATTTTTTTTTAAAAAAAACAAGTATATAATTATATATTTTATAATTTAAAAAAATAAGATTTTTTATTAATTATATTATACTAATCTATAGAAGAAAGTTTAAAGATTTTTTTTATATAAATTTATTATTTATATTAGTTTACTATCTATTATATAAATAGATATTTATTTTTTAAGATTTATATAAATATTATTAATATATATTATAATTCTTTTTTTATTAACTAAAAACTATTTATTTTTATATATTAATATTATTCTTATTATCTTCTGTAATTTATCATAATTTATTTTATATATTAATAATATCTGATCTATCTTCTTTAAAGATATTTAATTATTTAAATACTAAAATAAATATTATAATAAATATAAGTAAAAAGACTATAAAGTCTATTATATATATATTATAAAAATAAAATAAAATATTAATTTATAAGTACTGCACTGCTTTTTTATATTATTATTAAAAAATTAAATAAATTAAATAAATTAAATAAAAAGACTTTTTTATTTATTTTTTTTATTATCTTTTTATTTTTTTATAAAAAATAAAATTTTATTAATTAAAAAAATATTATTAATCAATTATCTGAAGAAATTTTATTAATTAAATAATATTATTAATTATTTATTTAAAGATCTAAGAATTATTTTAAATTTTAATTAATTATTAAAAACTTTAATTTTTTATAAAGCAGAGATTAACTCTTAATTTATATAAATATATTTAATCTATTTAATTTTATATTAAAATTATACTTTATAATCTTTTTATATATATTTTTTATTTTAAATCTTTTTTATTATAAATTCCTTTTTATTATTAATTATTAGTTCTGATAATTATATATTATTTAGTTCTTAAGATAATAATAAGTCTGATAATATAGAATAAAGAAAATCTATATAAAAATTAAATAAATATCTATAAATATACTTAGTTATATAATATAAAAATTAATTATTCTTATAATTATATATTTTATATTTTTTTAGTTAAGTTTCTTATAGAATTAATCTGTATAGATATTTTTTATATTTAATTATATTTTACTTTTTTTATATTTAAATATTAGATTTTTTTATTAACTTACTTACTTTTCTATATATTTTTATATATAAATTATTAATATTTATATTTATTCTTAAGTCTCTTTAATAATTTATATAATAACTTTTTTTATTAGATTAGATTTTATATTAATTCTTCTACTAAGAATTCTTAGACTTTAATTAATAAAAATAATATAAGATAATATTTATAAATTATAATATAAAAAGTTTTTTATTTTGATAAATAAAAATATACAGCTGTTTAGAGTAATAAAGAAGATACTGATTTCTTTCTTAGTTATATTTTTTTAATCTAAAAAGCTTCTTTTTATATACTTTTAGGCAATAATAAAGATAATTAGATTAATAATTATTTAATCTAAGTATATCTTAATTATACTAGAGCTTAAAAAGATATAACAGATAGATCTTAATATTAAGAATAATTAAGATAATTAATTATCTGATTTTTAGTTATATTATAATCAGATATAAAGATTTTCTTAATCTGATTATAATCTAGTGATTAGATATAAAAATTCTAATTAACCTGACCTGACCTGGCTGTTAGCCACTCTAGTTTAGAATCAGCTGAGCAGCTCTTTTAAAAATAATAATTATTTTTAATTAATTTAATTATATAAAATATAAATATAAATATATATTTTAATTATATTATTTATTTATTTTATAACTTTATCTATCTTTAAATAACAGACTATAGAGAGTTTTTATTAAATTTTTATTAATTAATATATTTATTTTTATATTTTATTTATAAATTATATTTCTTAATTAAATATAATAAACCTTAAGATTTTATATTTTTTTATAAATAATTATATAATAGTTTATATAACTATTTCTTAATTAATTTTTATTATAAATTTTAAGATTATATTCTTTAAGAATTAATCTATTATTATTAAAATATTTAAACAGTTTTTTCTTCAATAGATTAATAATAATATTTATAATAATATTTTTTAATATTTAATTAAATATATCTAATAATTTTAATAATTTTTCTTTCTAGATTTTTATATAATTATAAATATTATAGTTTCTTATAAATCTCTAAATATTTTTTAATATTATAAATTAGAAATATTATCAGCTAATTAGAATATATATTATTTTATAATTAGAATATTCTAATAATATTAAATTATAAATATATTAAATAATATTTATACAGAGAAGTTTAAAATTTAAAATTTATTTTCTTTTTAAAAAATAGATATAAATTTTATTTATTAATATATATTTAATAATAAATATTCTAAAATCTAGTTAAGATAAAAATTTTCTCTGTTTTTGAATTAGTATTTTAATTTTTTTTAATATAATTTATTATTATTTTAAGTCTCTCTTCAGCTTTTTGTATTAATATATAATATTTATTTTAAGTTATTTATAATTTGTATTAAAATAGATAGAATAACAGCTATATTAATTGATCTATTTAATTAAAAAAATAATAAAATTATATAATTTTAAAAATAGTTATTCTTATCTGTGAATATATTTTATTTACATTATAATAAATTATTAGTCTATTTATTCTTTTTTTATTTTTATAAACTAATTTAAAATTAAATCAGTTTAAAAATAAAGACTATTATATATATTATTTAATCAGCTTTCTTAAAAAATATATTTTAGATTTTTATAATTAATTATTACTTAAAATATTTTATACTAATCTTAATTCAGTATTTTATTATTTAAAACTTTATATAATAATAAAAAGTTTCTTATTATAAATTAGATAATTATATTTTATTAATATATTTTATTTTAAGAAGTATATATAAGATTATAATATATAATTATTATTATATTATAAAAAAACCTTTTTTGTATCATAATTAAATAAATTTATTTCTATAATTATTATATATTCAGAATAAAATAAAGTTAGAATTAGATTAAAAAAATATATTTTTTAATTTATTAAAAGCTATCTAATAATCTGATATTTATTTAAAGATTATATTTAAGAACTTTTCTTAAGAAGTAAGAACTTTTCTTAAGAAGACTTTATTGAACTTTCACTTTCTCATATAAATTGGGTGCAAAAGTGAGATGAAAGTGAGAGAAAGATAAGAGAAGTAAAAAATAAGAAAAATTAAAAATTAGATAATTAAGTAAGAACTTTTCTCTAATCTCTTAGAAAGACTTTACTGAACTCTTACTTTCTTATATAAATTAAATATAAAAATAAGATAAAAATAAGATAAAGATAAAAGAAAAATAAGAGAAAGATAAAAGAAGTAATAAGAAAAATTAAAAATTAGATAAATAAAAAAAGACTAAAAGCTGATTCAACTTAATTAAAACTTATTAAAAAACTAATTAAAAATTAAGAGATTTTTTTATTTATATTTATAGCCAATTAACTATTAAAAGTATATAAAAATATATAAAATTATATAAAATTATATAAAAATTATATAAATAAAACAGGGCCAAGAATAATAAAACTAATAATTAAATAAAGATTAAAATAATTAATAAAAATAAGATCTTTTATTTTACTATAGAATAGACAGAACTCAGAATTATTAGTTTGTTAACTAATAATCTAAGATAATTAACTAGTCTAAAACTATAAACTAATAAGTCTTAGATAATAAACTAATAAGTCTGTCTATATTATTAATATATTCTTATAATTTTAATAAGATAAAATATCAGAAAAAACTA